GAGTTCACCAGAACGGCCGATCCGCGACTTGTGCGTCCGCGTTACACGAACCATGCAAGCCACGGCCTCCCAATGTTTTCTCCCTCGGTTCGCCCACCAGGGGAAAAAGGAAAATTCTGCATTCCAGACATTACGGATCCATGGAACTGGGTGCGTGAGACCTGTTCGAGATCCCGCGGCTTGGGCGCGTGGCAAAGTCGCATCGAAACAGCCGCATGGCTCAGACTTGCCTTTACGACGTCATTGCCGCCGGCGGATGCTCCTGCCGGGGTAACGCAGAGGGTTTGTCGCCGCCGGAGCAGCAGCAGACACACGGTGCGTCCCCTCGGTGGGCTTGTTCCTGCGCGCGCAGCTCAGAAGTATCTGTGTGCTGTCATCACTGCCTGGGCGGTTCGTCTGCGACTGCCAGTAGAGGCGCTTGCGCTCTGGCTCTCTTCATGTGATGAGCGTGGTGCCCTTGACCTTTCCGCTCTCCATCTTTGCTGTTCTAGCTCCGAATTGGATCTTCAGCGACGTTAGCAGGGCGCAGCTGGGGGATCGGGGACACGGGTGTGCGCCTTACCGCTCGCTTCTTCTCGACGGCGACGGCATCCATTCCTAGCTCTTGGGCCAGCAGACGCAGAATCCGTTTTCCTGGCTCAACTTGGCCGTCGACGTCCTGGTTCTCAAAGTCGCATTTTTCCCACACGGGCACCTCTATTGCCCATTTGACAAGATCCTCGTCGAGATACGGGAACCTCACCTCCCGTTCCCAATGCGCCATGACTCGGTCGTCCCGTCCGAGGTTCCTCTTGCCGAGCCGGCCGACGTCCAGCTTCAGTTCGTCGTTTAAGCCCTCGTACCCACGCCTCGAGAAGGCGGTGGCATGTCGGATGTATCCTCCGAAGAGCTCGTCGGCGCCCAGACCCGAGAGCAGCACACGAGCTGTGGTCTCATAGGGTCGCGGCTCTGACTCCGGGCTGTTCTGGCTGAGGCCGCGGCCGCGGGCCGCAAAGTAAAGAGCGTAGGCAATGGATAAGTCCATCTCGGTATTGTGTGGATATATGAGATCGATGACTTCTGACCTATTAGAGGTAGTCAAAGAGAACGGCACGTTAACCTGGTCCTCAGTCAGCGCGCGGTTGGCGTCCATAACACATTGTCCGCTTACACAGACGAGTCGCCATCTCCTCGTCGGGCAGACATCTACTAGCTCCGCAAAGGACTTCCGTGCCGTGATCCTGTCGGGACAGAGCTCGTACAAGCCCTCCTTGGAGATGGTCTTGTTCTGGGCTGCTATTCTGGGGTTCTCGAAGGCAACATTGATAAGATCGATGGCTTGGTCTGGTGGCAGCAGCTCACTCGCGAGACGTGCCAGGACGGTACAGTCAAGTCCACCAGAGAATAGAATGGCTATCCTGGCATCCGTGGATGATGCCCTGGGTGGTACTGGCACGTTGAGAACCCGATACTTCAAGGACTCGACGAGGTGGTTCTGCAAACACTTTACGGAGGGTGCGCTCCGAGTCAACTTGACTTGGGTGGTTGGTATGTTGGCATTGAACACGCCGAGGCTCGAAACCTGGGCGAGCGGTCAGCGGCAGAGAGCGGATGCAAGTATGCAGGACTCACGAGTTGATCGTCATCAGCCCAGTCACGTCTAATAGGAACCAGTTCAGCATCCAGATCAAGGGTATAGCACCCATCCGCTTCGACCTCTACCCAGCTCTGGGAGGGAGACTCTGCAACACTTGACAGGGAGAGGCCGTCCGCCGCCTCGGCCAAAAGAGATCTCCGGCCTAGGCGATCTCGCCCATAGTAGATGCGGCCAGCGGGCTTGTCCAGGAAGATGAAGGCGAACGGACCCTCAATCTGGCGCAACGCATGCAGGACGCCGTCACAGCTCTCTATGGTGCTATGGCAACTTGCCGCGACCAGCTCCGCGAGAATGGCCTCGCCATCGTTGCCCTGGACCGGCCGGCCGCGTAGCTTCCAGGCCTCGCCGTTCCAGCACAGGACAGAGCCGGTGGACTCGTCGACGAGGGGTTGCCTAGCCACGTGATCCCCACGCAGGGAGAGGACGGTGGAAGTGAAGGTCAGGTACAGCAGCGTGCCTCCGGGCCAGTCGAGACACGTTCTGACGGTGCCGCAGTGGTCGGGGCCGCGACTCCGGAGGCGCTTCTCCAGGGCCAGCGAGGGGGTGCGATATCCAGACCTGGAGATGGTCGCGTGGATGCCGCACATGCTCGCCCGCGGGGCGATGAGGGCGAGCAGCGGGCGGTGCCGGGTGTTGGGACGACAGATGGACGGATGCGATGATGGCGTGAGCGCGGTGTGCGAACTCACCCGCAGGCCAGGGCGAGGATCTGAGCCTTCTGAGGTTGCCCGAAGGATTGAAGTGGAAATGTGCACCTGGGCGGGTACCTGGCCTTCCATTGCTGGCCCAGATGTCGAGTTCAGGACCCACCCGCGGCGCTGGGTGTCACCACCTGCCAGGGCTCCCTTGTGCCACTGCTGTTTGACGGCGCTGACATCAGCGCTCCTGGCGGGGGCTGTGTCTCCCTGAGTCCCATCCAGAGTTGGGACGGCGAAGGTCTTCATCTCAACTCAATCTCGCCGGATTTCGAGCGCTACTGACCGGGATTTCCTCGGTGCATGAGCCAACGGAGCGCTACTGGCAACAGTTGAGCTCCTAGCGACAAGAACTCGGCAAGGGAACACACACAATAACGTCCACGACAAAGGCCCATGATTGGGCATCTGAGTCAAGACGGCCGCAAGATGACACCCCATCACCGTATAAGTGCCGGATAGCGAGAGAGACGAAAGGATGAGTATAGTGCAACTTGGCCCAACTTCTCCGACTGCAGAGCCTCTTGCACTGCCAGCGTCAGGTTCGCTCCTTCGCGCCCGACACGACACTCACCCTCTTCGAGACACTCTCATCGTCGCCCTGGCCCGGCTCCAAAACTGGACCCGAAGGATTCGCTCGAGGGTGCTGACCAAGAAAATTACCAGCATGTCGTGCTTCTATTTTTGCCCTATAACGGGGGAGTTGCGGACGATCGCCTCGGCGCCGCGGTGTGCGCTAGCAGGGCCTCCATGGAACCATCCCCGCAAGTTTTGAGCCTTCGCTCGCGCCTTGGGTGTGCCCTGTGTGGCAATGTCATCATCCCGACGAGCCTCAGACTATCCTGGCGGCCGCGTTCAGGGGTGGACCGGGTGGACGGATGGAGGGATGGGATCCTAGTGACGCCGAGATCTCGCCTCGGGCCAGATCGCGGCTGAGCATCTAAATGCGGGTTCGCCGGCCGATACATATAATGCTGCCATCCCTTTGCTGCCTCCTTGCTGCGTGTCTGAGCTGGTAATATTCGTACGTTGAAGCCATCACAATCTTCATCACCATGGCACCGTTTGTTCAATCTCTCAGCCAAGCGGCCGTCGTCGCCCTGGCGCTGATCTCAAATGGTAAGCCAACGGATCACTAGAGAAGGAGATGATCCAGTTCTCATACTGACACGAACCCAAGTCCAAGCATCCCCTGCCGCAGCGAGACACGACAGCCGAGCCGACAAGGTGCCGCTGCGCTTGATGCCCCTGGGCGCGTCCATCACCGCCGGCGACCACTCATCCACAGGCAACGGCTACCGCAAGGACCTGCGCGAGCTGCTGGTCAAGGACGGGCACCCGATCAACATGGTGGGCTCGCGAAAGTCGGGCTCCATGGTGGACAACGACAACGAGGGGTGGTCGGGCTTCCGCATCGGCCAGGTCGAGGGCAAGGCGAGGGCGTCGGTGCCGGGCATCAAGCCCAACCTCTTCACCATCAACGCGGGCACCAACGACTGCGCGCAGGGCTACGACATCGATGGCGCGGGCGCGCGCATGGGCGGCATGCTCGACTACCTTTGGGGCGCGTCCCCGGGGTCCACGGTCATCCTCTCGACGCTGCTTCTCAACCTCAACGCCACCAAGGAGGCCTGCGTCGAGCGCGTCAACGAGCAGTTCAAGACGCTCGCCAAGGACAAGGCCACCGCGGGGAAGCGCATCGTCCTCGTCGACATGCACGCGTCCGACGGCCCGCAAAAGGGCGACATGGCCGACGATACGCACCCCAACGACGTCGGCTACGGCAAAATGGCCAACATCTGGCATCGCGGCATCCGGCAGGCCGAGGACAAGGGCTTCCTGCAGCCGCCGAATAAGGCCGCCTAGGGGTGCGCGGGAGGTAGGAGTGGTGGTAGCGACGACGACGACGACGACGACAAAGGCGACGGATGTCTCCCTTCGGGTGGTGGCCCGGCCGTGTCCACCAGCCTCGTCGTCGTGACGGCTACGGAGACAGCGAGCGGCGACGGCGGCGATCATGACTCTGCCGCGGGTGCATCACGACCTCCTCCCTCTTTTGCCGGCATGGGAGCCGGCGCGGCGGTCCTGGCGGCGTTTGGGACGGGCGCTGTTCTCTTTTGGCAGCAAATATTGTAGATTGAGCATATACCACAGACATTTCGGTGAAGAAGCCATTAGCTACAAGACGAGTCACTTGGTGTAGGGAAGCAATGTGCGTCGCAATTCAGGAAAGGCTGCCCATACACTGCCCTAGATTTCCAAGCCTTCTAGTACACAAATAATGCAAGCCCAAACATCAATCAGATCCATCAGGATCAATATCCGGTATGGTGTAGTGGCTAACATCGCTCGCTCTCACCGAGCAGCCCAGGGTTCGATTCCCTGTACCGGAGTTTCTTTTTGGAACTTTTTGCACCTCGTCTCTCTCTCTCTCTCTCTTATCTCGTCACCTCTTTCTTTGCCTGGTCCAGTCGGTCCCGCCACCAATCGCGCGTGGCTGCAGCCCGTTGAGACCAGGCTTGCAAAATCTTTCCCGCTACGACCCTCTTTTTTTTTAGGGGTCACCCGTTGCGATGCCCGTTCTAGAGCCCCCCCACCGCGAAGAGTTATGAACCACTTCAGGTCGTGCCTTTCCCATCAAATGGAGACCCAAAGCGGTTCCCAGCACATCCGGTATGGTGTAGTGGCTAACATCGCTCGCTCTCAATCTCCTGGTTCATCCCAGGTTGAGTGGTTCCGAGCAGCCCAGGGTTCGATTCCCTGTACCGGAGTTGATTTCCATCGGGCACTTGAGCCTGTGAACTTTTTTTGTTTCTGTAGTTCGGAACAGGCCGCGTGCAAAATCTTTTTTTTGGCATCATGGTCCACTCGCCATGCTTCCTACGAGGCGGTTGGGATTTCCGGATGACTGGCGTACGTGCCTATGCGAGGATAGGTTGTTTTAGTTTTGATATTGTTGTCGGGCCTACTGTTGTCGTTTGCCGTTGTTAAAAACGCCTGGGCAGCATTCACAATCTGTGTTGGTTCGGTCGTTGGGACAGAACCCGTCCGTCCATTTGCCAGTCACCACAGCACATCGGTGAAAACAAAAACAAATATGCCTGTCTGCGACGAGGGCAAAAAGTCGTTCAATTCACAATCGCATACTTCAATACATCACAGGAAGCACCAGGTCAGTGGCCCGTCCTTTCTGTACCAATTTCCAGGTCCAGGGTAGGGTGATATGCAGTGGGACGCGACGTGACGCGCCGGAATTGCCCGGAGGGCTTCACCATAACGAAGAAGAGAGCACTTCATCAAGCTGAACTAGCTATCAAGCCAGGCGAAAGAACGCCGGATTGCGGCAAGCCCAAGCTCCACGAGCTGCCGCAGCAATTGGATGGCCTTGTCAAGACTAGCACGTGACTGCTCATCACACGAGACGAAATGCGCCAAACACCCACACGGACGGTCACAGACCGCAGGGACAAACTTTTGTGGACGGTCATAGTCAATCTTCTATTCTCTAAATGGTGGCTGGCGGAGACGACGCTTCCGCCGAGATTCCATCTGAAGAAGCCCAAATAAACTGCCGTGGGTGCCGAAACGTGATTCTCATCCGTCCCATCCAGCGCAATACTATCATCCCATCGTTCCGTGACCCCACAGCTCATAATAGTTCGTTATCGCCAAGTTGTCCCTTGTATCTCTGAGGGAAGTTGGGAAGGAAACGAATCAAACGCCTAAACCCAAGCACAAGAGTATGTAGTACATGAGGAGTTTGCTTTGTTCTCTGCATGGAAACGGATATCCTCTTCATTGTTATCGTGAATCTGCCGCGACGCGGCGGCTTCAGGGTTGAGATCCACGGTTGCTACAGGATGTGCAACCTGGACTGATCGTGAACTTAGGACGGAAACGACACGGCGTCGAACGAGTACCAGTCAACCTGGTTCAACATGTCCGACTGTGATGTCTGCGAAAATCCCAGACCAGCGCTTGGGACCTCGGCCGCAACTTCTCCGAAGAGCGGCTGCTGGGCGTTGCCCTGGCCCTTGTCCTGCTGGCCAGAGAAGAGTGTGAAATCCGCGCAACCGGTGGCGAACGGGTCGTCGAATCCCTCATCAGCCGCCTGCTGGGAGTCGGGGGTGTAAAGCATGGCGTTCTGCTGCGCGGAAGGAGAGAAGTGAGATGGCACGACCTGGGCCTGCGGGGCCGGTGCAGCCTGAGGAATGTGTTGGGTACGGTAGATGGGCAGATTCTGAGGCAGCAACTTGGATCCGAGAAGATTCTGAATCTCAAGTGGCAGCTGCAGCTCGGGTCCTTGGCCGAGCTGGGCCTGCGCGGCATAGATGTCCTCTTCGTTGGGCATGATGAAAGTAGAGCCATTCTGGTAGGGAGGGTACTGCTCGTAGGAGGCAGCCGACGCAGGCGAGCGGAGGTCCATGGAGATATCCATGGCATCGTTGTTGTTGGCTTGCATATCAAACCCACTGGAATTGCCGAACCAGTCCTGGTTGGAGATGTTGGGGTAGTCGAGCGACGACATCTCAGGCGGAGTTTGCATTCCGTACGAAGGAGTTGTGGAAGGCGTGGACGAGTGGTGAAGAGACGGGGTGTGCTGGGCAGCGTCGCTGGCGCCGGAACCCTTCTTGCCGTTGGTCTTGGTACGGACGTATGTCCAGCCGTGTGCCTTCTCCATGTGCTGCTTGCAGTTCGACTCGCGCTTCGACTTGTACGGGCATGGAGGAAACTTGCATTCGTACATGGCCGGTGCGTTGGAGTGCTTGTCGTTGACGTGGCGATCCATTTCCTTCTCCGTGGGCCACCCAAACTCGTGGTACTTGCAGGTTGGGAGAGGGCACTTCCACGGGCGGGAGTGCGTCTTCTCGTGCTTAGTGAGGTCGCAAGGGCGCTTGAACATCTTGCCGCAACCCGGGTGCGGGCACATCTTAGGAGCCAGCTCCTCCGGGGTGGCGTTCTTCTTGCGACGCGCCATGGAGCGCATGATCTCCTCCTGATCCTCGAGCTGTTCGCTGTGGGATCGCTTGATCTTGACGGCCGACTCTCCCATGTCGACTGTCTTCCCGGTCGCCAGGGAAATGACGGTCCCGTCCTTTTTAACGCGAACGAGCTCAGCAGGGCGGCCGTTGTCGGCAACTCCACCGTACAGCTTGATCTCGTCCGTTCTGGTGGTGAGGTTAGCAGGGTGGCGTAGCGGCACAAATCGTGGAACGTACTGGTCAACGTCGTCGTCGTCCTCCAGAGAGCCGGTCTTGTTCTTGGCCGCGTACAACTGTCTGCCGTACTCTAGAATTTGGTCCTTGAGATCGATGAAGTACCCGTTAGTGTAAGGGCGGTCGTTGGGTCGAACTTGTTCGCGGTCCGAAAAGAGTTCGACGGTCGCTTGGATGCAGCGAATGGACGTAAGGCAGAAGTCGAGATAGAGAGAAGGCGCTTTCGTCTTTGCGAACAATAACCGATAAGTATCACCCCTAACGCCACGTTCCGTTGACAATCGACTTACTGGTGCCATAAAAATAAGAGTCTTCTCCAAGTCACGAAGGCAGATGATGTCCTTTGACCTGATGCGACGCGGTACATCGAGTACGAGGGGACGGAATTCCTTGAATGTCGGCTCGCCGAGGAGCGGCCTGAGGATGTGCTCATGCACCCTCCTATAAGCTTTGGGGCTGAGGGCACGAAGGTTGTCCTTGGCGGTGGTTGCTGCCGACCCAGTGAGGGCCCGACTGGCCTGTACCTCTTTGGCCATGGCGGACGCCTTTTCGTCGCTCGAGGTGATGGAGCTTCCGAGGCCGCTGTCGGAGCCATGCGTTTTGGAGCGCCGGTTAGAGCGCGGGCGCAGGACCCGGCGCTCGGCCTCAGGCTTGGAGGCCATGTACTGCTCAGGGCCGTCGAGGCCGAGCAGGCCACGAGGGACAGGAGAGCTGGTGTCCCGGAAGGGCGCCTTGGAGGCCTTGGAAGGCGAGGCAGAGAGCTCTGCCCTGGCCAAGGTCTCGGTGATGTCGTCGATGGCTAGTGCCACACGACGACGGTTGGCATCGACGATGTCGTCGATGTTGGTAGGCGACCGAGGTAGTTGAGGAGGAGAAAAGGTGTCGTCCGCGGCCATGGAAGCAGGAGAGGGAGGAGAGTGGAAGGTAGCGCCTTTGCGGAGGGCCATGCCGGTCTTAAGTGAAAGAGCGGAATCGCCCTCACTTCCCGGACGAGTCACCGGGGCACGGCGACGAGGGTTCGCAAGCGACATAATGGCGGCTGCAAGTGGAAGTGGATGGGGGTGGGGTAGATGGAGGGAGTCTGGCCACGGGTGTCCTTAAAGAACTGCTGGGGAACGAGACGTGTCAGCCCGATGTGTGCGGTAGTGTGTGGTGTGTGTGTGAAGGTGCCTGTGAGTCACAAGATAGGACTCGGATGTCCAGTCCTTGATCGAGATTGGGTTGACCGATGGAGTTGAGGACAGAGCGCGAAGCCACAGGACGACGGGGACAATTGGCACACCAAGAGGAGGAGCGTTTCCTTACCGAGGCAACTGCGAGTCCGGGACGACCAGTTAAGCTCTCGAGAGATTCCGCGGACCACCAGGACAGGCGAAGCCCGGGTGGACAAGGGGCAAGAAGTGCAGAATTGCGCACGAGAGATGCGTGACGCGGCCCACGAGGAGACGGACGTAAGAGTTCGCCAGAGAGGGACCAACAACGGCGAGACGGGCCAGTACGAACAAAGCCGACGCAGTGGTATTGTATAGTTTTGTGAGGAGGCTGGCAGGGGACGTAAACCGGATATATGTGGGAGAGGCGAAGCAACGACCCGCGAGACCCGGCAACGGCGGAACGAGGCGCGGTGGCGACGAGGAGCGTGCCAGACGAGACGAGCAAGCTATGGATGGAAAACCAAAGGCGCTGGGACGGATGGACGCTCGCAAAACCAAAACCTTGGACGTCTTCCTCGCGTGGCGTATGAGAGGAGGCGGCCGGCGAGAGGGTTCAGTCGGCGAGAAGGACTATGGACGAGGTGGAAGAGAGGACGGAAGTTCAAACGAGGCGAGGCATTCGGTGATATGGATGGGGACAAGCGGGTGGTGCTTAGAAACCGCTCCGCTAAGCCAGTCGGTGGGCGCCTCAGCCCAGCGGAGGCTGCTGCCTGGAGGCCACCCTGATCGGGACTAGTGGCGTCTTCTCGCTGGGGGCGTGGACGAGGATCCCTGCCGGCGGGGTACCTCGCGTTAGTGGTTCGGCGGGATGGCTACGTCCTGTGGTACCTGGCCTGCCCATCCAGGTTGGTGGTCTTGTTGGTGACCGTCGCGCCATCTGGTGGGCGGCCCAAGAGCCCTCTTGGCTCGGACCACGTTCCGGTTGCCAGCCATCAGCGTACCCATGGGCTCCGCCTGAGGGTCTCGCCAGCGCGGGAACGCAGAGCAGAGCCTCAACCGCACTCCCAAGGCGTCCTGGCGGTCCACCTTGCCGCCGTACCGGTCCAAGTCTCGCTCCTAACGCGGGAGACTCTCAGGCCAAGTGGCGCCCCAAAGGTGCCACCCCCAGCCGTTGGCTCCAGCGCCGCCTACCGTCCCGCGGTGGACTTCCACGGGCGTCCATCGTTTGCACTGAGCTGTCGCTCCCTTGACTCGTCGCCGCCAGGACGCACGTCCACATCGCAGCTGCTCGTTCCCCGGAGGTGGTGGTTCTATCAGCCATCCATTTCCACAACACGACTACGAGGATGATGACGATGGCGACGCAAAGGCCACACGCGCGGCAGGACACCAGCGACGAAC